CCCCAAAACCCCAAAACCCCGAATTTCGCATTTCATAATAAGATAGGATATTTATAAAATTATTGATCAATAAGCTAATTTAATAATATTAATAAAGATAATGGCGATTCGACTCAAAAGCAAGGATCTCTAAACATTGAAAACCAAACTCATAGAAAAGCTAGATTAGTCTTTTGCTGCAGTCTAATAATTAGAATATGAGAGAAAGCCTGCTCTGAAAGTAGACGAAGTTATTCAAAATTCAATTAAGTCGTTACTCATGCTCATAAAGACTTAAATTGGAGGCAACTTTTTATTCTTCAAGATTATAGAGTAAATAGTGAATCTGTCAGGAGTAGATAATAAAGACCTGCTTAGCGAGATTATTAAAGCATAGAATATTTAATCTTCTGTTGATTACTATGAAGATACTTCAAATTCAAATCAAGATACTACACAATCAATAGATAACAGGATAGCTAACATTGCCTATCAACATGTGTTTGAGATATCGATTGCATAAAGCGTATCTTTACCTTCTGCTCAATTTAAGAACCAGAGAGGACAATCAAAGTAGAGATCACCAAACAATCGATATGGCAATGAGCAAACAGGCACATTGTCTCAGATAAATCTAACACCATTGCAATAGTTGCAACAAGATGATGATTTGCTTGATCAATACTCCAAGAATAATGATCAATTTACAACAAAAACTGAAGGCAATGAGGATTAGTTATTGAGCAAGATGAAGGAAATTGAGGAATTGGTGAAAAGCTTAAAACCACAAGATAGGTTAATAGATGAGTTAAAAGAGTAGAATTAGCTATTATTGAACAAAATAAATGAATGTAATGAGAAAACTTAGGAATCATTGGCAAAGCAGAATGAAATGCAAGATTTACTAAGCAATTAAAGTCAGTAGATTCAAGAATTGCTATCACGGCCTGTTAATATTCAAAAAGATTTGGAGTTTGATAATTTGTCTAAAAGTGTACAGATTCATACTGTTACTAGGATAAATCAAAAGGATTATCACGGCTAATCTAGTAAATCTAGAACAAACTCAAACTTTTCAGCAAATAGAAGCCAATTAAATGGGGGATAAACAGGAGAAACTTTGACTAATAAAAACTCCAATTAGCAATAGTTCAGTAATATTAAAATGGGAGATTACTAAGAAGACCTAGATTATACAAATGATTACCCATAATATTAGACAACCAGTAATACTTCGGAATAAAATAGGAAAAACTCAAATAGAGGTGGAACAGCAAGTGAAAATAATTCTAGGAGTAGATTTAGCTCAAACTACTAAGAATTAGAAAAGTAAGAAGATACAGAAAGCATAATACTCAAAAATGTAAAAGTATAGATTCAAGAGCAAGAGAGTAGTCTTGGTAGGTAATAAGTACAAAAAAATGATTAAGATATTAGGGAGAGTCAGAAACTGGAAGAAACAAGAGCTTCAATGTATGATAAGAGAATTCTCAACTAGCCATCAGCTTATGATAAGGAAAAAAATCTATTCGACTTGGACCACTCAGTTTAGCTAAATCCTTAACAAACTAATGTGAAAGATTTAGTAGCATCTTCAACTCATAGTATTGCAGCTTCTTTGTAAGGTAATCAAGAGTAATCATCGCAAAACAATAATAATGAAGAGGAATACAAAACAGAAGATCAAATTGATTATTTTGATAAGGATTAAGAAGACGAGGAAGTTAAGATAGAATTGGAGAGGCAAGATTATGTAGATGACAATGACAATTTGTTTATAAATAGTAGAACTAATGGCTTGCAATCATCTTAAATAAGATCAGGTTCGATTCGCTAGAATAATTTGCTGAATGAAATTCAAAAAATAGAAAAAGAAGAAAATGAGTATGGAAGAGACATAAAGAATTAAAATATTCCAGAGATACCTAGATAAAACCATAGCTCATTAAAGAATTAATAAAATCTAAGCAAGGATAAGAAATAGACAGTCATCTTCTATAATGAGTTAGATTAGAGTATTTTGATAGGCTAAAATGATACGAACACTCTGGTCTTTGATGAAAATCTGGATTTCAAATTTAATGTTGATCTGGGAGGTGAATTAATTTCCATATTCCCATTTGAAGAATAAATCTACTGCGGATTGAATAATAATTACATTGTGAGAGTAGACAAAGATAACATAAAAGGTGAGAAGAAAAAACTGGCAACTAGGGAAGTAGTCCAGAAAATTCTACATTTTTACTATGAAGAATAAACTAATAATGATTTGATAGAGTATCTGGTCCTACTAGAGAAGGATGGACATATTGAGTTCTTAGATATTTCAACATTCACCATTGTCTATTAATACTAGCACACTTGCAAACTTAGCATATAGGATGGTGTTTAAATTGTGGATAGAAACGAATTGTGTTTGGGTTTCGCTCATCTCAGTGATGGAAGTTACAAGGATGGAAAACTAGCATTTGTCAAGGTTAATCTTACCAATTCTCCGTCTGGCTAGCTGATTCGTATGTTTAATTAATCACAGCATAGCACTGGCACCAAGAAGTATGATATTAGCATAACTGAATTGAGTGCTTAGGACTAAGTAGCGGGAAAGGCTGTATTTAATGTTCGCTAGATCAGTGCAAACCAATTCATATTTACCATTATTGAAAAGAATTTCAAGCTCTATAACAGATAGAAGGGCTTTATAACAGACATACCGAATCCATCTAAGAGTATAAACTACAACAGTTTAATACCTATTGACGGATTCTGCTAGGAGCATCCATATCTCATATACAAGGACTCTAGATCAATTGGAGTAATTGATTGTCTGACTTATGAAGCTAAGATAATTGATAGTGAAGTAAATTACTCAAGGTGTGGCAATCTATATAGTTTGGAGTAGTATAGAGATTAAAAAGATAGCCTAAATTTGCTTACTTTCATCTTCGATAGAAGCAATAATGATAGAAAGATAAAAAGTATTATAGTAAGGATATGATTAATGCAAACAAATTTTTAAACAATAAGTTTTATCTTTAAATTATGTTAAAATTAATTAGCATATAAATTTATTGTTAATCTAGAGATCTAACTTATCATATATCATGGGGTTTTGGGGTTTTGGGGAGATC